CATCTTGAGGTCTTGACTTGCATTGGCAGTTGAACACAATGTATTTATTTCACTTGTGGAAGATTGAGCTAAGAATTCAGACAAACCTAAATAAACCTTGTCCAGCATTGGAGAGTGACTTTAAGATAACCCTCTCATCCACAGAAGTGCCAGTGTGCATTAATTCCACCTTTGTTGCAGAACTCGAAGCCTTACATCTCCAAGGATCCTCCAGTTCAAAGATCAAGGACCACTCAGTTTATAAAACTATAATTAGGAGTGGTGAGCTGGGACCATTGCAGATTTCATTTACTCTCTCCTCATTGGAAGAGAGTCCTTAAATCTACTGTTTTACAACTTAAAGGAAGGGTTGTCTCAATTAATTCATGTGGTCATAGTCCTGAAGCTGACAAGGCATCTTCCAGGAATTTGAGCCCGCTGGGATCCTTGTCATCAGTTTTTAAATGTGCTTTTTTTTTTGTGTGTGTGTGTGTGGTTCTTATCTGGAAGCAGACTGCCTGGATTACAGCATTCATCTTATAAGCATTTGGCATTTTCTGTTATATGAAACTGAGAGGTTTTTCTTTGCTATCAGGACTCTATCAAGCTTTTCAATCCAATGACTTAATTCAGGCTGGGAGAAGGGAAAAAGCTACTGGACACAAGTCAGCAAAATGCAGGAAACAAATGTCCAAGAGTGCATGCAGTTGTATTTATTGTTATATTTACTGACTTCTGAGTATTGGAAGAACATCTCAAGGCAGTAAGTCCTTCCTGCTTTGTGACTTCTCCAAAAAATCTCTTAAAGTCTTTGAGTATCCAGGGTGAGAGGTATGCTGGGGAAAAGCTATTTGAGTGCTGCAAAAATGAGGATTTTGCTGTTCCTGCAGGAACACCTCCCAGGGTGTGAGCTGTGGGATGTTATGGGGAGGTACAGTTGGGAGTAGCTGTAAACTCCCCCATCAGAGTTCTGGGATGTACTGCTAAGGGTGGCACAATCCCACTTGGTGGGATAACTCAGAATAAGGTATTATTTGAATAACGTGCATAAGGTCACTGCAGCCAGGTCTATGATATGAGTAAATCCTCCTTTTCATATGAACTGTGGTCCTTGGAGGGGTGAAATGCAATCCTAAACAGAGGCTCCTTTTACCACTTAAACCCTGTTTTATGGATTAAGTGCTGACCTTGCACTGACCCTCGGCACAGGGCTGAATTTTAGCCTACAGCAAAAATCTGCTGGCTAGAGCAGCTGATTGAAGAAATTAGGGCTCGACTTCTTACTCTTTGCAAGACAATGAAACCAGGCTTATTTTTGACAAAACGTTTCTGATCTATGAGAATTTTAGTGCAGAAAGGGGCTCTTTTGGAGAAAGTCTTGAAATTAGCCTTTCAGCTATATTTTTGGCAGGAGAATGGCAAGGAAGCCATTTCATTAACTTTTCCCTGGAAGTTATATATGGAGGGCATTTGTGTATACAGCTGGGCAGCATAAAACAGGAGGGCTTTGTGTGAGAATATCCTGAAATGAAATTTCGTTTCTGTGCAACTTGGATTTGTGTTCTCAGACTGCCAGGGTCAGTTTGTGATGAAACCATAGGAGGGCAGTGTTAAGCCCTCACGTTTTTCCTCACATTCTGTCTTTTGCAATGGATGCAGAAATCAGGAAGAAACCGCTTTGCCACGTGCAAGATCAGTGTCACCTTTTGAAGCCCAGTGTCAGTCAGATAAGCTCTTGCCTGCTTCTATGCATCCATATGGCTGTAATCATCAAGTGATACCAAGAGATTACATGTTTGTAAGGCATTCCAAAAGCCACATGTTGAAGTTGGGTGTGAATTTAGCTCTGCTTTGACCTCCCTTCCCACATGCTTGCTGTTCAGACCCCTTATTGCTGCCATGGTGGAAAAAGCCCTGGTTCATGTGGAGGAGGCACCTCTGGCCACGATTTTCTCAACTTTTGTGTGATCCTTGGAAATAATAGCCCTAAGGAGCATTTCATATTATTGTAAAAGGTAACTGGTGCAAATTCTTGATCTCAAGACTCCTTGGGATAGGACTAAGACCACTTTTGCATCTTCATTGAAGCCCCCAAACCAGGATGCCTCTTTTGCTGATGTTCAGAGTCAGGCTTTGACACTGGGTGACCTAGGAGACACTAAGCTGGTTTATGACTCCTGGGTAGCCTAGCAAAACCAGACAGTACATCTGCCAGTCTGATTCCATGGTTATGTTTTTACTATTTCTCTGTAGTTCCACATTTTCCTAGCTGCTGTGGAGGACGTCGGGCCCTTCATCAAATAATGACTTTCATGATAAGTAAGAAACTAAAGGGGAGGGTAAATATGTTGTTGTTCCTCTTAAAAATACATTCTAGGGCAGTGGTTTTATAGACATTTCTCTCCAACACTGTGATGTCTTGTGCAGCATTATTTTTTCCCTGTGTCATCTTTAACTCCCAGCAGTCCTCTGGTGCACTTGTGGCAGGGATAAATGAATGTAGCAGGGGGTACGAGTGACCTCAAGGTAGGGGTATGAGTAGGAACTGTTTGGGGCTTCCTGACTAAGGATACGTTTTAATAAGCATGGCTTAATGCTTTTCTATAATATTTTTTATGCGGCTGATTTGGTTTCTCTTATGTCTTCTGGAAGCTTTTCTTCAAAATGAGGCTTTGATTTCAGCTTTTAGAGACTGAGAGACTGAAACAAGATATCTTCTTCCAAAAAAATAGAAGAAAAATAAGTAGTAGCCAGATTAAAACGTCATCTTCCAGCCTAGATTAAGCTCTCCTAGTGCTGAAAGCCAACAAGCAAGTAATAGATACTTTATTCTAGGGTTGACCTGCTGCACTACTAGTCCATGGGCTGTTAGTCTGCAAAGCATTACGAAGAAACAAGCGTCTACAAGAGATACTAAAGCCACAGCCTAGTCTGTATTTTGATGTTTATTTCTGATACTATGTGGTTCATGATTGTTTCTTTTAGAAGGAACAAATAATCAATACAAAACCATGAATAAAAATAACTTTTCTTTAAAGCGTGATGTTAGAAGAACATATAGTCTTCTTACTGTGCTTGACGGAAACAGTGTCTGTTTTCCACAATTCATTGCTTATTAGAATGCCTGGAATCTATATGTAATGTATTTTTAAAGCATTTAAACACAGAAATTTAAGCTTCTGCTCCAGACAGTTTGTTTTAGCATACTCTAAAAAAGTCATGTTTGCTTTAAGCAAAGAAACAATAACAGTTTCTTAATAAGCAAATTTCAGTGTAATATTAAATAATGTCCATATCAATATCTCAAGGAAATTTTCTGTCTCTTCTGAGACACTTCATCTATTTATTGACTCAGCTGCAGTAAAAGACCTTCAAGGCCCACTTCTCTGTTGCATTTTAGAGCAGAGGTGCAAACAAACAGCACTTGTCTCTCTTTCTAAGGAGATTGCATCCTCCAAGAACAAAACAATTAGAACATCACTAATGACCTGGAAACTCAGGACTATGGATCTCCTAAGGAGGGGGAGAACTACAAAAATATTGAGAGTGTGCATCAGTGAAGCTAAACCAACTCAGGAATGTACTGGTGGGAGAGACGCAATTTGGCCCCTGCAGTGCATCTAGACCAGAGGATAGATAACTATATGGTGCTCTGAGGGCTCGTGCCCATGGTCTAACCCTGTTCAGAGTGTCTTTCTTACTAAGGACCACTTAAACTCCCCTGTACTCCTTTTGTAAGGTTCTTATGGAATTGTAAGGTTCTGATGGAATAAGTATTTATTTCATCTATGTGCTTACTGTTTATGAACTAACTTGCAATGCTATCTTGTAGAATCAGACCCAGATCTCAGTCATCTATAGTGTTCTTTCTGATGTTCAACCTGCAAATCTTCTGCTTGCAGAGTTCCTACTGATGTAGCTGATACCTTGCAAGCAGAGGATTTTGGTTGTCCAGCCAAACAAGCCCAGTGAAACAACAAAAAACACAGGGCAGAGACTTTAATTTAGGTTTACTTCAATCCAACCTCTATGCCAACTTACATATCTATCAAAATTAACTACACGAGCTTAGAATAGGCATGTTTTACGGATGACATAACCATAATTGCTGTGAACACTCTTTTCCTCAGTACCCACCTAGTTAATGCTTTCAACATATGAAGTCACTTGTTGAGTCTTCCCAAGACGTTTGTTAGGATTAGAATACAACTGTTTTCATTTAGAAGCCCTAATTTGCACCTAACGTAGTTTGTATCACGCTTATCTTGGAAGCCTTTGCCCTAAGACTCATTTTAAGTTATATACTTCAGTTACGTGCATACATCTGAAATACAGTGAAGTTACTCTGCTATCGTGAGCTAACCTACACAAAGAGGGCCTTAGAATAAGGTATGTGTTAACTTACAAATACTTTTTTTCCAGCAAGACAATCTTTTTTATACGAATAGGGATAAGTAATAAGAAAACTTTTACAATCGTGTATTTGTTTTCCAAAATAGCTTAGCATATTACTAGAAAAACCCATATTTGACAATTATTTGCAATGGAAGAGCTACTAAATACCTGTCAATTCTGGAAGTCTATACTTCATGAACTGCTGACAACTGATAGTATTTGATCCAAAGGTAACACACTGCCAAGTCCAAAGAATTTGGGTTGGTTTTTTCACATGTTTGAGGAAATTCAACGCATGTGAATCCATTTCAGTACAGTTTTGAGTTAATAAAATCTTTTCCTCAGGAATTAAGAGGATGGTCCATCCATATTGTTGTAGTCGAGGTTAAGCGAAGTTTCCCAAGGAACGCAGGCATGTTGGGAAAACAAACTTTCAGGTTACTCAGAATTTTGGCAATTTTGGCCACTGTGCACCAAAATAAAATGTATATGGATGTTTCATAGGCGTCAAGTTATGGAGTTTGCAGTGAAAAAAACTCCTTGCCCTATTTAAAGCTGTAAGATTTCTAGTGTGGCTTTTTTTCTGAACACGACCATGCAACTAATAACTCAGCAATGCAGCTTACCTTTCTTCAGCCAAGAAATATTTTGCTTATCATTTTCAAAACTTTCTGCTGGTTTGACTTTTGCTCTGTCTGTCTTGGCTTCTGACATCTATGGGGGGGAAAAAAGAAGGAACTTTGGGGCATCGGGAATTCTCTTAACATTTGTCAGATAAAAATGTTCTCTGTTTAGATTTCTGTTCTAAGGAATTGCTCACTTACACAGACACGCTTTTTCTCTGCAGATTATTGATACTATATTATATCTGTCATTAAATTTATGTTCTGTTCCTAAATGCTTTATCAATATTACATAGTTGCTGAATATAGATGGTTTCTTTTGTAATGTTACTATAAATTACATGATGAAATGAATGAGTGAGACATTCATAGCAGGCTGCTAAGAGAAGTACATACAACACACGGAACAGGCACGGTCTGGCTGCAGAGGAGCATCCAGCCTGCTTATCGTGGTTCAAAGTAGCTGTAAAGCCTGCTGTCAGAGAGGTATAATTATGTAAATAACGATCAACATTTATAAAGGCAACTCAAACAAATTGTATCCAAAAAATCCTTTAGTGCCACTTGCGATTATTTATTTGCTGTAACGAGAAGAATCACATGCAAGTTACAGTACCTGAGGGTATTATGTATACAGGAGCTATCAGCCCGTGCACTGTAGTTTATTTTCATCCCTGCTAGCAATAAGATTAAGCTGTCCGGGCTTCTTCTAACTGCTTTCTATTTTTGCTGAATCCATTTAGCAAAAGCATTTCTCTATTTTTACCTGTATCTTCCAAACGGGGGTGAAGGCAGCAGGGCTCAGACGCCGAGGAGGAGTGCTTTCGGCCGAATCCCTCGCTGTGTGTTGATGTCCAGCATTCCCATACACTGACAAAACCGAAAGGATGAGCAGTGCACTCTCTTCCTGCCTGCTGTGTGGTGCTAGATTTGTCTTGCTGCCAGAATCAGCCAACTTATTGCTGAGGGTTTTTTTGTTTTGTTTTGTTTTTTTTTCCTTTTTGTTTGTGTGCACTTCTAGAGCAGGGCAGGGTAGGGAAGCAAGGGGTGATCAGCATCCCAGCGCTACTGGAGTGATGGAAAATCAACAGCTTTGCAAAAGAGAAATTGGTTTGGAAAGGTTATTACTGCAGTTCATAACCCAGTGGATCTGCAAGAGAAGGAAAAAGTCAACCAGGAGATTAATAGGAACTAATCAGACAAATGAGTCAATGTTTTGGCTAAATGTAAGTTGCAATACTGAAAGCTGTAGGAATTAGACCCCAAGTGTCTATTTACAGCTGTTACCTTGGCAATGAGAAAGGTCTAATCCTGTGGGGAGCTGGGGGCTGTGAGACCCCAAAGAGCCGAGGGCATGGTGAGCATTGGGCAGGACTGAGAGGGCTCAAGTGAGGGCAACCCTCCTGCTAATGGGCAACACGGGGGGTCAATGTGGTGGGCTGGACTGCCCTCTGCCTTGAAACTTGAAGGTTGTTAGTTGGCTTTTAAATTGCCTTGGCTGTCTTTACCAGCAATAGTTCTCTGACTGTGGGAGCAAAGCGAACAAGACTTCAGAGGTCACTCCCTACTTTTTCTGTTGGGCAAAAAGCAAATGCCACTCTGCTTCCCCAAAAAGAATTTTGTTAATTGCAGAGTACATTCAGAATTTACCCAGTTATTTTACCTTTTAGGCAATATTTACAAAATTTCAAGCAGTGTTTGTCACCAGATACTGTAATCCAAGATCCCAGTGCTTAAGTGTGGCCAATAAATAATAACATACTCCCTTTGTTTTGACAATTATCTTCCTCTACTCTCCCATCACATGTCATTCTTGCAAGAAAAAATGTTGTTTTTTTTTTTCTTTTTCTTTAAATCTCCTGTGCCAACATGCCGGAGATTCTTCTACCATCTTTAGCTAATTGTGAATTGCATGGTAAGTGCCTACTTACATCTCCAAATTGCAATGATTAGTCTTGCATGGTTTGAAAACCTATTTTAAGCTGGGTACTTTGGGAATAATTGCAACCACAGGGGGGAAACATCTAGGGGTAATATTTTAAGATCTTTGTTCCATTCCCCTTGGATGCAGCTTTGAGAGTCATCTATTTTCAATTGCAGTTCCCCTGCTTCTCACAGAAACACCTATTTTGTCAATGTTGTTGCACCTATAATGCTTTAATCAGTGGTGCTGATTCTTCAGCTGGATTTGGTAGGATAGGCTCACAGAGCTCTTGTTTGGCCCTAATAAAATCAACTGGTCTTCATGAGGTACAGCCAAGACCTATCTGATTGTAAGTTGGACCAGATGTTAATGACCACTTAAGAAGCACTATTTAAAATGAAGATATGGGTAGTTTCCAAAGTAAACTAGAGAGAAAATTTATTTTATGCATTCACTCAACTAGAGATTTTGTTAGCATCCTAATGTCTCCCAAACAAAGTAAAAGAGACAAGCAATGCCCCTTCAAAATCACAGCCATGAAAATTGCTGTTTGAAATCACAGCCCATGAAGACTTATCTTCAAAGTTTTCTTGCTGATTTAAGGCCTGCTTGAAACCAATAGGAGCTAGAGCTGAGCCCAGCCAGCCTCCAGGAGTGCAATAAACCAGCACTGCTGGAAGCTGCTGATTCCCAAACGTGATGCTTGTAGGATCCCTCTACCTTCTGTAACATGCAAACCTTCAGAAGTTATCTAACCTGAACCTTGGAGTATTATCCATCACTGATATTCAACTACTAGTGTTTCCAATCCAGAAGGATGTAATGCATTGTTCCTTAATCTCAATCAACTCTAGTTTTCTACTGAGCCATATCTGTGAGCTGTTTTTTGGGTTTTGTTTTTTTTTTTTTTTCCCCTCATTTAATTGTTTTAGATAAACACATCAATATTTCTGTTTCCTAATCAATCTTAAAGCAGTCACAGGAATGGCAGGCTTGCCTTGCATTCTCAGTAGTGCTAGACTTTTCAAAAGGAGGAATAAAATAAACATTATACAAGAAGGTCATTAAAATATTGAGTAAACTTGTTTCTATTAAAGCTGTAATTGAATTTTTAAAGCCATGGCCCATTTTAAATGCCGAACTTTAGTTTATGGAGTTTATGGTTTGATAATTCATTTAACTTTTATTTTATAGGTTTTACTTTATAGCCATTAAATAGCTATGGGCCATCACTTGAGCCTTTTCCTTCCATATTGTGAAATAGGGCATTTATATGGAGGATTTTTTTTTTAAAAAGCATAGTGCTAAAATAGATACAATATCAATCAATTGCCAGATAAATGTACTGTATAAAGTGCTTGTTGAGATTGAAGTGACTATTTTTCTGGTCTGCTCAACTAGGAGTGCGTTCAAGTCTTTGTAGAGAGGAAGCCTTAATAGATTGCAATAACCATCAAAGCAGAGGAATAAAAGTCGCTGCTGGTCCTAGCTATGATCAAAACTTACAAGATTTCCTTGTGTACACCATTTTAGTTAGGAGACCAAAATGAGGCACTGTTCTGAGTCTAAGACAAGATGCATAGCTATAGCTGGGAGAGGCTTTGGTTATATCCATGGGTCCAAAGTTATATTTCACTACCAAATGGGGTTTTTTACATGAGGACTTGAACTCTGTGCCTCAAAGTTTCGTTTCCAGGAGATAGAATCACATGAAATTTCTGCATCGTATCATGAGATTAAGCAGTTATTTCTCTTTTGCATAGCCCAGGTAATATGTAGGCACTTGTCCACTGGCAAGTGGCGCTCTGTAGCTGTGGAATACCCTACACTGTAATAAATGTGGGGGGAAAAAAAGTGTAATGAAACAGTCTTTGCTCCCTTTTACACCCTGGGGTGATCATTTCCAATAATAAAGTAAGTATAATGTGATGTGCCCTGTCAAAGTTAAGGAATTTCTTCTTGATCATGCATCTGTAGGTAGAATATTAAGTTGTGGGAACATGGTATACAGCCAGATTATCCTGGTGATTACATGTAAAATGCATGGTTTTTTAGCCGAGCCATCATGTCCTGTGAGAACTTCAAATGCAAAGCAGCCTGTTTATATAGATTACCTCAAACTGGCACTGACAAATGATCTATATGCTGCAGAGGCTCTGAGCAGTACAAAGACAGTAAGACTTCACTCCCCATCACTCTGTCTAATAGACACTGGGTAATTTTTCAATAACTCAGTGTCCTGGAAGAGAGAGATGTGGGGCGTTATCTCACTTTGCCAATCTATGCCATTCTGAATTGGTAAATGGGAGTATGTTTAGATGGAAGGAAGAAATAAATCTGTGAAAAGGGTGGTGAAGGCAAGTTAGTACATGGGTCACTAATAACGTAGAGGAAGTACAAACCAGTAAGATTATATAGGAATACTTCAGTCTGAACAGGAAGGAAAAAGAGGTATTGAATGCCAACAAAGCCACTCCACACCCAAAAGTAGGTGTGCCAAGAGTGAAGGCAGTAAACAGCTTATGGATTTTGTCTTTCTAGAGCTCAGGAGGGAGTGAGCCTAGCATGTGATGAAGGGCACAGTATCAGGAGAAGCAGATGGAGGTCAGGTCTGAAATAAAGTTGAGAGAATGATGGGGTGAGAGGGCAGGGGAGACCTAGAGAAGGCCTAACCTCAGAGACAAGAAAACCTCATCCAAGCTGATGAGGAGCTATGGATGCTCCTGTATGCTTTGGCTGATTTTCTTCCTACCAGCTGTAAACTCTTGTAAAATGAAGGCCTAGGCTTTATAATGTTTTTGATCCTAACGTGATGTATGTGAACCTTTGTGAACCCTGGCTGCAAGCAGGAACTTCTTCTATGCTGTTTGATTTTTGTTTCCCCATTACCTGTGAGTGTGCTGTTTTTACAGACGGTTCTGCATTGGTATGCATGTAGATGGCTGTGTTTGAGAGGACAGTGGCTTCTACAAGAGTTTCTCCCCCCTAAACATTGATACATGGTGCATTAGGGGGCAGCTTGCTCTTTTAAAATGCTTGGTTTTGGTGTGTAAAGGGAATAGAAATATAGGTCTGCAGGGGCCAAGGGAGATGTGCTGCAGCAGGCCTTTCTGGACAGAGTTTTGAGCTTTACAGCAAAAATTAGGAAATAGTGGATCAGATAACAT